TTTAATATTTGATGTGTGGTGACCTTCAGTAACCTCTCAGTCATCAGACGCCGATGTCCTAACTTTTGTTCTGCTCTCTTTTTCTTTCTTCATAATAAAGTTGTAGAGTTGTTTTTGTTCATTGTTTGGTATTAAAGTGTTCGTCTCTGCTGCTGTTTCAGGCCTCTTGGGTTTCTGCGTGGGGTCCCTCCGGTGAGGCTTCATCGGGGCGTCCGACTCGTGCACGACGACAGCTGCACTTCAGAAACGAGTGGGCGACGTGGGGCGGCTGGTCGGTTTGTTCACGCAGCTGCGGGAGCGGAGCTTCAGTCCGGACTCGAACCTGCATCACCAGGTAACACAGCGCCGGAAATACAGAGAGTCATAATACATTCCTGCAAATGGGTTTACGCCATAGCTGTATGGTTCAGTCAGATAACACATGGTGGCTTGAAATAGTGATTCTTCAATCAGTCTTCAGTTTACCTCTGAACATCATTCCTCTGGTGTCTCTCCTCCGTCACCAACTGATTAAAGGTGAAAATACCAGAAAAAGTCTGCAAATACGTTTCCTGTTGTCTTTAGGATGCACAAATTGAACTGAAATCCTCTCAAGTGAACATTTTCACATTTCTGCGCCCTGTATATATTCTATTACTGTATTACTTATCATGTATGAATCAAGAACAGCTTAATTATTGAAATAAGGGAATCTGCCGGTTTGTACATTTTCTACAAATACTCTTAAATAGATTTCAGGGTTTAAGTTTTTACTGAAAAATTCTTTTTTTTTTTTTTTTTTTTAAAGTAAGTCATTGTTGCCCAAATTTAGCTTCATACAAGAAAAGTGCAGTAAAATACACTCTGTTATTATAAAAATCCAGCATCCTTCCATCTATTGTTTTTGCAGATGCTTTTGCACAAAGAAACACACATCAGTTGTTAAATAACCAAACAAATAAAGTGTTTTTTTCCAGGTGTGTTTACTGTATTTAATCCCATAAGTCTCTTTCTTTTCTGTGTGGCAGGAACCCCATTGGTGGACCATGTGCAGGAGATCCCAGACAATACAAGATCTGCAACACCAAGGTCGGTTCCACACAAAGGTTTTCTCACTGTATTAAAAAAAAAAACGACGTTCGATGCAAACAGTTTAGAACAATGGCTGATGTTTGCTCTATAAGTTGGTCATAAAGGTGTGTTCAGGTGGAGCAGCCGAACACTTTCGGGGTGTGAACTGGAAATTCACTGACGAATTAACCTTCACTGACCTCAACTGAATTATTGATTACAGGAAAAACACGCAGATTTGTTGAAGCAGGTTTGAATGTGTGTTTATGAGGCAGTTTGTGAGCTCAGAACAAGAATTGACCACTTTATGGACTTAATGGACAAAAAGTTCATTCTTTTTAAGGTGATTTCAAGATTTCTGAGACGTTATTTTACCATCAGAATTACAACCAGAGTTTGAGTGTGATAAGTTGTTTAAATGCAGGTCGATCCTCTTGGAAATGACTATTTGTGTATCTGTGTGTGTGCAGGAGTGTCCCTCTGGCTCAGAGGACTTCAGAGACATGCAGTGTGCTGCCTTCAACGACCGACCGCTGGTGGCTGGAAACTCCTTCAGATGGACGACCTTTCATGGAGGTCAGTGAGACAAAGCACTTCTCGCTACTTAAGACTTGTTTGGTTTGTACACACAGTTATAGATGCACAGATTTCTTCTTCAGGTGTTTTTGCTCTTTAAAACCAGTGTAGCTCTATCATCTAACAAAAGTTTAAGACTGGAGACTCAAATCATGCGCCAGTACAATTTAAAATAAAACATCCAGAACTACTCGTATAAACCTGATTGTTGACAGATATTGTAACATTAAATTATGAGTTAATTAGTGGTTGGTCATTTTTTTTAATCAAGTAGATATTTTAGGTTGATGATGGGCAGGTCTGATCTTTAAAATCTTACCAAAATGACGCCATCATCAAGAAAACAAAGAAGCAACAGATTTTCAGATTTTTTTTCAAACTAATCGCCTTTGATTTGCTGATTCATTGGTAAAATTAACCAAATTTAAGCTTTAAATGGTGGATTGTCATCAAAATCACTTTATTCTACATGTCTCGTCAAAAAATTAGCCAGAAATGAACTTGAACAAATAACTGAGAAGCCATGTTTAACTCAGCTACAAGTGACAAAAGTCCCGTTTTTGGCTGAACTGCAAGCAGTGTATCCAGCAGGCAGACAAGAGACACGTCTTAAAACAAATTAAAGAGATTAAGCGCAAAATAAAACATACGTGATCAGTTTAAAGAATGCAGCGTGGCTCAAAGAAGGTCTACAGAGCTGCAAGTTGTTGGAAGATTCATTCAGCATCTTTTCAGTCGTGTGAAAAACACCAAGTTTGCAGAGGCTGTAAAAATGTCACTGGTTAAATATCTATAACATGTGGAGCCACTATTTATTCCAGCAGTGGTAACACCTCTGGGCACTTATTGTACACATTGATCAATTCTGTGATTGGGGGCATTATGAGGAGTTTACTACACAAAAGGCATGTTTGAGTTCTCTGTCTACATGTAGCCATGGATGTGTTGTTTCCATAGAGGTGCAGAACTTTATATTACTGAAAAATGAGCCCACATTGAGAGAGGAGCAAAAAAACCCAAAACAAAACAGAAAATTCTTGGGGTTAAATGCAAGAATCTTAATAAATAATTCAGATCTCCATAAGGAACTGTGCCGAGTATGAAAAATGCTGGGTCTAATATAATACTAACCCCCTAAATTCCCATGCACAGGCTGCCAGCTTGTTGATGCATTGAGTTTGAGGTGTGTAACTGTGCGCTCCGTGTTTCTGGCTGCCATGTTGTAAACTCCTGTCGGCTCTGCGGCCCGCTGGGTGTTTAATCCCACCTGAGTTTTCTCTGGAACATCTGTTCGTCTTTTCCCTCCTTTCTCTCTCTCCATCTGCTGCCTGTTTGTGTTCCTCCATCACCTCCCTCCTGTTTCTTTGCCTATTTTCCCATAATAAACTAATGAGCCACTGGATCTTCCCTGCCAGGCTCTAACCCCTGTGAACTCAGCTGCCTCGCTCTGGGTCACAACTTCTACTACAACTTTGGCCGAGTGCTCGACGGAACGGCCTGCAGCAAAGAGCCGGGAGCAGTTTGTGTCAACGGGCGCTGTCTGGTGAGTGACAACAACACCGTGTATGTGTGTTGCTGCTTTCTGTACAAGCTGTATTTATCCATTTGATGTTCAGTTTAGCTTATTTTTAAATAACCTTTCAGTTAAAGCTGCATCCGTTTATTTTTGGCCTGTTTGCCCGACAGTTATTAATGAACAAACAGCTGTGAATTGGAAACATCTGGATGCTGGAAATGAGAGTTGACTGTGCAGTAATTTTACCTTAAAACCAAAACAATAAGGTGAAGTCGAGGAGCTGCACAGCTGGTTGATATTTGTTGGTTTCAAGTGAGACAAATGAGCCTCTGATTCAGTTTAATGTATAAACACGTGCATTAATGCAGCTTTGCAAGGCAATGTTCATCCATTATTTGGATGGTGAGACACTGGTTCACACAGTTATTAACCCCTAACAAGCTTAATGTTGGGTTTGAGTGGTTGTGATAAACTTTATACGATTAGAAAACTCTATTACAATGGAAAATGATTTTTTAGAGATATAGTTTGAAAACTCCAAATGACCAAATTAGCAACCAAAATGTTTTTATATTATCATCTGTCATGTCCTGAAGGTTGTCAGATTTCTCAATATTTTTGCATTGTTGCTAAAACCTACAACCATAAAACAACCCAAATATGAACACTTTTGCTGCACAGCTGATAATATATCTGCACATCCACCAGCAGCAGCAACAGCATGAAAACCAATCAACTTACCCTGTGTGTTTCTTTGCAGATAACAAGGCTTTAAGAGCCATAACACCCACAGAATAATGTGGAGTTATGTGTTGGGGCTACAGATGTAACTCCAGTTTCTGTAAATGAGGAAATAGAACCGTTAAAAGTTCACAATCATAGCTAATTGGTCAGACGTCTCAAGTTAATATGTTGTGGTCGTTTTAATTACGTCGGGAGACTTTTGTGTCCATTTGAACCCTGAAAGTGCTGCAGCTCCAGCTCTACCTGTCTATAGAGTAAAGGTAAAGATAATCTTTATTATCCCAGAGGGGCCATACGTCCGACAACACACAGTGGTAATTAATTTCACCACTCTCAACCACTCAACAGACAAAACGTCAGCAGAGACAAATGAGTGTTTCAGTCTGCTGGTTCTGTACCTACACAGACTGAATCTGCAACCAGATGGAAGAAACTTATATTCTCTGAACAGGGGATGACGTCTGTCAGCCAGGACCGACTGGACCTTTTTTAACGACTCCATCTATGTTTAGTACAGACAGATTTCTCAGGTCAAACCCAGAGATTTTAACTGCACACTTTCACGATTCCCTTCAACGTGTTCCTGTTCTTCAGGGTAAGTGACCCAAAGCAGCAGATAAAGGAGAAAGTTAAGAACAGATTCAATAAGACATTTTCATAAAACAGGTGTCAACAGTTTACAATAAAAGTATAAGCGCTGGTGAGCCTTTTCACAAACAACCTCAGACTGAAAGGTTAGTTTGTTGTCAGTTATTGTCCCCAAATACTTGTAGTGTTGGACAATTTTAACAGCCTGATCATGAGTAAAAACTGATGGAACAGGTGGAAGGTTTGCTCAGAAATCCTTTGTTTTGGACACATTTATGCTGAGGAAGGCCACCAACCATCGGTGGAGCAACTGAAGTGAAAGTAAAATCAACTTTGAGCTGTCAGGTTATCATTTATTCTCTATCTGTTTATTTTATGTTCATGTATCTTCATTGTTGGGGAACTATATCATGTTAGTGGAGCTTCATTATGGAACCTAAGGGGTCAAAAACCAGAGATTTGTTTACTCCCCTGAAAGGTTTATGTTTTAGTAAAACTACACTTTACATGGTGTGGAAAACTGAACCATGAGGTTTAAACTTACAGCCTATTTACAACGAGCCAATAGGAGAAGACTTTGTGTTGTTTTTGTAGAGGGGTGACGTCTCTGCCTCTGCCTCTCCCATTGCAATGATCTACTTTAACTCTCCATGTTGTTAACACTAACGCATTAACAGACAACCCAGCAGTGTGTTTGTTATCTCATTCAACACGTAAAACGAGGCTCTTCTCTCCTCTCCAGTCCCGCTCTGTTGAGGTTTAAGTGATGTTGACCACTCTGACTGCAGCTCTCTGGAGAAGTGAGCTCCACGCTGTGCGTTAGGGCCAGAGTGCACTCATCAGTGTGGACTGCAGCCTTCAGTTAGCATTACAGCTCTGCTCGGTGCCCAGCTCCACATCCAAGGCCTCACCTCTCTCACCCCGGCGTCGGAAATGAACATGAGTCCCTCGGCTAGCCGGTGGAGACCTCCGCCGCACGAGGGGACGCTCGCCGTCGGAGCTATTTTTACGCAGCTGGATTAATGTGCGTCTGTGTTTACATGCGTCTACGTGCGAGTGTGTGCGTACACGCTCACCTTTGGCATGTTGCGTAAATAAGCTGATTTATGGGCCGTGGACTCGGGCAGGCCGGGGTCAGAGCAGCGCAGGGCCTGAAACAGGAAGCAGATGCAGCCTGCAGCTGGTGTGGACGACTGCAGGTCACAAACTGAGTCCAGGCTGCAGAACACATGGCTGCTCAGGACGCATGTGTGCGTCCATGTAGACATTCACACCTGAATTTGCAGTGTTTTTATTAGCACTACAAAATTCTCTTTTCAGAGTTTTCCCAATCAAGTCGGTTATCTGTGAAAATCTACAAAATTGTCAGATAACGAAAGCGAAAAATGTCCATCACACGTTTTTCAAATTGTCCGTTTTGTCCAGCCAACAGCCCAAAAGCTTGCTCTGGTTTTGTTGTTTTGTTCAGTCCATTGATATCAAATAGAAACCAGACAAAGCGTCTACAGCCAAGTTAATGGTTCTGCGAGGCTGTATTTGAATTAAATGTTAATGTCAACATGCCAGCAGGCTCACACTGACTGTAAAATGAAGCAAATGTTCACTGTTGTTGCCCCTATTTGCCAAAAGATGACGTTATTACTGCTGGTGGTATTACTTTGGTTGATCACACGCCTGCCAGATTCTGTAACCTGGTGCAGCTGGCGTTTATGCAGAATGGCCAAGCTGGAGGCATCAGTCTGTTCGCTGGTCCGTCCTCACAATCCATCACTGTGGGGAAATAGGGACGACCAGATGGAGACGAACTCATGGAGGGAAATTGCTGCAATAATTGGAAAAGATGAGATGTTGTGCAGAAAACAGGCCCAAAGCAGGAGGAAGCTGCAGAGACGGGATGACCTTGCAGGTTTGTCAAACATTAGGAGACTGTTTGAATGACGTACTTCCTGTACATCATCTCTTCTGTGGCTGTTCCAGCAATGAAGAGTTTATTTTTCTAAGCAGCTACACCTGTTGTTGAGGAGAGCAGAAACTTAAGCACAGGTTTAAAAAAAAAAAAAAAGGTTGTTGAGCTGTGTTTGTAAAATAACAAAGCACCATGGTGTTCTTATGATTAGCAGAAATAATATTTATCAAGTTGAATACCCCAGTTTAGCCTGTTAGCATGCTTTTTTTGTTGTTAGCACTGAACATTAAGTACGTGGTGCGATCAAAAAGTTCAACATCTTTCAGCAGATGGGTTTAGGAGCTGTGTTACATGTTGTTGTGATCACTGGTTGGTGCACATTTGTGATTTCTTCATGGAGCTCAAACTGGAGCAGAGAGTAAACATCACATTCGGTGTCAGTCAGCAGCTGGATGATCCAGCCTTCACATGGATGATTGTTACCGGTGATGAGAGGTGGATCTGCAGCTAGTATAAGAGAAGAAACAGCTTTTTTATTAAGGAAGAGCTGCAGTCTGCAAAACCAAACAAACAAGTGCATCAGGTCTGGAGCACCAGGAGCATGTGCTCGATGTTTTCTTCAACATTCACGTCTTTGCTCTCCAGGAATTCGTCCTCCAGGGTTGTACTGTAAAGGCAGAGTTCTGCTGTAGCATCCTGAGGTGTCTGAGGGATTTGATGCAACTCGTCGTGTGATGGCATGCAGGCGCTCCAGTGTGCCCTCAGTGCTCTGATTACATGCAGGTTTTTTGGCCACAACAACACAATCGTTACTCGCCAAACGCCCTACTCACCAGATCTGGACACCCTGCGACTTCTTTATCCTCCTCAAAATTAAATTCAAGTTGAAGCATCGTTATTTTGACACAGTTTAAGAGATTCAGCGCTCATCATAAATGCTACTTGACATTATTTCATCCCAGGACTTCCAGGAGTGTTACAAGCCTTATAGGAGCACAGTGAGCGGTGTATCGCTGCCCAGTCAGACTACTTAGACGACAATGGCGGGCAAATTTAAATCACATATGGTTTTTGTTTTTTATAGGCGGAGTCTCTGAACTATTTTATTGCATCTTGTACAGCTGAAGGTGAAGAGATGTCGTGTTTTTTTCCAACAGCAGCTCTCCTCATCAACAAGACCAGAGACTCCCAGTGACACTTCCTCTCTCTCCCCACCCTCAACATGGACACTGGCTTCTTAAATAGGATTATTATTATTATCATTTTTGCACATTTGAAGTAATTTTCATGTAACTTTGCACATTCTCAGGCAAATTATTTGCACATCCCTGCACACTGTATATATTTACAGTACTGTCATTACCTTTTATTTACTTGTAACACTTCATTTTTTATCTTTTTTGGAAATGTTTCTACTCATCAGCTGTTATAAAGTTAGATTTCTCATGTTTTAAAGCCAACTTGGCAATTAAACTGATTCTGATTCTAATATGTTTTGAAGGACAAAATAAAATGTAATGTCTGATTCGAATGTCATTGCTCTCGGACTGTTAGTCGTCAAGATGTTTCACTCGGTGCAAAAGACGTGAACCTCATGGCAAAGATAGAGGAAAAGAATTGCTCAGGATTTTTACTCTGGAGACAAAGAACATTGGCTCAGATTTTCATGGCGCTCCATTTAACAGTTGCAGATATTTTAATCTGAACCAACAATTAAATAAATGGTCCAAATGTGTCCGTTTCTGTTGACAGACTAATTATTTAGCCACTCGCTGCTCTAAAACACCTTAAACTGATCAGCTGACCCTGAGTCTTGAAGACCGACAGAATCAGTAGCACAGAGTTTATTTCTGCACTAAGTTACATCAACGCATGTGATGTTGCTGCAGCGTTTCTCGGTGTTTTGCAGGACTGCGGTCGCTCCCTCGGTGGGGCCCTTGTGCACTCTGCTACCTTGTCACAGAGGATTCATTTCCTGTTGTGCTCACACAGATGCTTGGAGTGTTTTGTGTTTTTAAGGGGCTTAGGGGGCTGATTACAGGGTCCCTAGATTGTTGCTCTCTTGCCTGGGAACGTCCCCCCTTGACTGGTTTGCTCTGCAGAGTCGCAGATGAAGAAGAAAGCAAGCCACTGTAATCTGTCCAGCAACGAGATTCTCCACACACCATAAACCGTCCGGCTCGTCCTCGGTGCTCTTTGCTTTGGCGTTGTAACGTTTACAGAGACTCTCCAACCCATTCTGCCCTCTTGAGGCCCCGAGGGGCTGCTTTCCTCCAAAGTAAATGTTTGTAAGAGGGGGCAAATGGCAGAGAGAGGAGGAGAGAAAGACTTGAGACATGATTTCTCATGTTGCGGGGACAAAATCTGTTGACTCGCCGTCCTTTCTGGGACAAAAATCAAGTCTCTGTGTGGACACGTCTTTGTGTTTTTAAAACCTTCATAGTGACGACACTTCAGCACTGTGAGGAGATTTAGGCAGATCTTCACAACCTCAGAGGGCTGTTTGGTGATCGAGGCAGAGTTTCCTGTTAATATGAGGAGTAAAGTCTCATTAAAGCTGAGATTAATTCAAATTAAGCCTCTTGATGCACATGAGAAATGTATAACTGTCTGAATACTAAGTGTCTGGACTGTAGAGCTGCACAGAACAACCTGGTCAAAGATTTAAAACCGTCGTAAAGATACAGTTTAATGCAGGACTGTTGTACCAGACGACTTCACACTGAATCTGCTTAACTATGTAAGTCATAGACTGGTCAGTTACCTCAAACTGAATCAGTTTGTCTTTGCTCTTTCTTCATTTATCACCTTTTCCAGCTTGCATCAACTCAGATAACAACAAAATATGTTTATGTTTTATTGAGAAAGTTTCTATTGACTAAAAAAAAAAGTTTATCCAACATTTTTTTTTAACTAAAGGAAGTATCGGTCAAAGACATTGTGTTCAGTAATAAAAGGGACTCAGGTTAAACTATAGACGCCAAAATCTACAGACGTTTTTATTAAATGACACCTGTACCATTAAAGACACCCAGCACTGGGCACCCAGATAGCTCCAGTGGTTGGGCAGGTGACCCATAAACAGGGGCTATAGTCCTCGACACAGAGGTCGTGGGTTCAAGTCTAGCTCATGACCATTCACTGCAGGTCCGACCCCCACTCTTCTCCCCACTGTCACTATAATAAAGGTTAAAAAAACCCAAACAAAAGACACTGCATTGAATAATGACTTCTACAAAAAAAATTAATTCTCAAAAGCACATGAATAATTTTCAGCTTCCATTCAAAAATCACATGAAAAATTTTCACTTCTTTAAGCTGCACATTGGCCTGAGATTGGCTGCTGTTTGCACGTTGTCAAATTAGTTTTATTTCAGCTCGGATAGAGATACATGTAAAAGCTGAGTTGTAGACTGTGGTAGTGAGGACTTTTTTGGCCCTCAAAGAACTTTTTATGGGTTAAGACTTGGTTTTAGTGTTGAAGTTAAAATCAGGTTTGAGTATGAGTTTGCTTCGGTTTCGGTTTAGACATTCAGTTGTGACATTCAGATGATATGGCAGGTTGTTTTAACAGTAAAGAAAAAGACTGGAGATGTGTTGCAGATATCTGTAATTCAGTTCTTCCCATTCAAGGCTCAATCCAAAGACACATTAAACATGGGATGCTGCTTTGACCATACATGTGTGCGGGTTTTTTTAATTACAGATATCTACAATTTAACTTCAGATATTGACAACTGATTGACGGATATCTGCAGCTGAATTATGACTAGTTGTAATTCCAGTTTTATTTCTGACTAGTCAATTCAACATACCTACATTGTCCTTTTCAAATTTCTTAAATTAGGTTTGAATTAGTCAAGAGGATGTTGTGGGTATCATGAGCTGGAATTCTGACGCGTCAAAATGAAGACAGACATCTTGAATTAAAGTTTTGACTCAGCAATGTTCTGGATATCTGTAGTAGTCAGCTTGCTTTTTAAACACACTGTGACACTTCAACCGTAGCTGCATATGACGACTGATATATTTCAACCATAAGTCTATGGTAAATGAAGCTAAAGTTCTCCAGAAACTCTTTGCTGATAAGTTATTACTGTTTTACAGCATTTTCTAGCAAAATTACCCACCACAGCAGCTGCTATTACTTCTGTAAACACTGTTACTGGACCAAAAGTCAATGGAAACCTTCCCATGACATATTGCAGCTTTTATTCTGACTGGTCCAAAATGCCATCGCTGATATCTGTCATTTTAATTCCAAAAAGTCAAACCATTAAATGTTAAACCAGCTTGCCATACAATAAAGGAAGCTTCTCAGCACAGACAAACAAACAGACGTCCAACCTTCTACACTGACACATTTGTCTACGTTTGTGTGTCGTACAGGAACCCGGCTGTGACTCCATCTTGGGCTCCAAGCAGCAGGAGGACGCCTGCATGGTGTGTGGAGGACACAACAGCACCTGCCTGCACCACAAGAGTGTGTACCAGAGCAACGGTCTGGAGGCAGGTAGGACCCACAGTCACCGCACTGTCTCCGCCAGGAATGAATTACGGCAGTTTCGGGCCAACTCGATCCGCAGATAATTCCAGGACCTCTTTGTGTTTCCCACCCAAGTGTTATTAGTCATTCAGGTTTAGTCAAAAGGTTATTGTTCAGTGACAAAGTGAACATTAACCCTGGTAAAAGCTCTGCCAAACAAAAGCGGCTTGGCTGCCTTCCAGGAAGAACTTCAGCTAACAAGAGCTCCAAAATTACAGCTGTTAAGGTTTCAGGAAGGAGGAGGAAGAACACGAAGTTCTTCAGGCCGTTCTGGCTCGATGCCACCGAAACATTGTCGACCTTCACTGGTGGCTGCAGTTCAGAGGCTAATGCGGGGTCTTGAGTCAGAGTCTGCAGAACTATCTTTTGGTTTGTTCATGTATACTCTTATCTGAACAATGAACAGCTTCAGCAGCACGAACAAGCTGCTCGCTGCTCTTAGTCTGAATAAACAGAAAAGAACCAGAGTCAACATTTAGCTTTCAGCTAACAGAGCCAAAAGTCCAGATCCATGCATGTGAATCTGCACAAGTTTGGGGAAACATGGCAATGTTTTTCAATAATTTAAGGCCCCATGTAACAGGACAAATCTAATAATCAGCATGCTACTGTAAATACATTGTTCTGAGGAGGATTAAACTAACTGTTGTCTCACAGTTCACCTGCAAGAAATTGGTTATGATAGAATATGGCTGAACGTGTGAGGCAAGAGATGCTCTTAAGTGGCCGTTTTTTCAGCTGAGCAGAAGCTGAACAGCCTGAGCTTTGTGTTTTATGTTTGCACTGGTGTATTTTAACTCAACCAAGTAGTTTTGGGGCTTAACAAAAGCAAACAGCGATTAAATGCGAAGTAAACAGTGACTGAAAGTACCTAAAAGAATCATCTCACGAGTCACATGACCCAAACACAGACTTATAAAAAAGAAAATCCCTAGAAAAACATACCTGTTTCACAATTTTACAGCCCTTAGTGTGAATCTAATCTGTTTTTCTGCTGTGGATCATCACATATTGGTATATTTGCATTGGAATGGTCACTTTCTAGAAGTTTTCAAAGACTCGTCTGCTGTTGAGTGAACCACAAATCAATCCCACTTGCTCACCTTTGTTAGAGTGATGATGAAGTCGTGCATGCTGTTGGAGGCTCAAGATGTGACCACGAAGGAATAGTGAAGCTTAAACATCAAGGAGACTATGTTGAAAAATAATGCAAGAACAATCTTTCTCCTGTGTCTGGTGAGAACTTCATGAAGTAGCCTCGTATGTATCTGAAAAGGCCTCAGAAGTAAATAATCTATCAGTGACTGTTGATGTGGAAGGAAAAGGAAATTGAATCTAGATCCTGTGTTGCCCTCTGCCGAGCACTGCATTGTGAGATTTTAACACGTCTTGAGCACACAAACAGAAAGTACCCGACACCTCTGGCGTGCGACTTGGCCGAGCCTCGGCTCTGTAACAGTGGCCTCCTCTCACAGCTCGGTGTGTAGGCCGAGCGGAGCTGACAGATGGAGCGCCGGGCCATAAAGGCTCAGATTGAGAAAGCAGAAAACAGGCTGATAATGGCCGCTTTGTTTGGGCGACTCGGCAGCCTTGGGAGGTTTTCTCTCCTCCTGCAGCTGCGTTTTTCCCGACAGAGGTGGAACTGATGGAGGGCGGCGGCGCGAAAAACGCTCCTCCTCAAGGTCAGAAAGCCGCCGACGGCCTCAAGCTCTTCACCGCCCGTCTGTAACTCTGACGTTTCCCCCAGTCACAACTTCATAGAGCTGCGTGAGCCCTGTGCATAGTTTTCCCTCCGGAGCGGGTAAGCAGGAGCAACCGGAGCGACTTCTTCAGAGGCCGTGATGAATGGAGTTCATCCCGCGGCTGCTTCTCAGTGCAGAGCAGCAGGGGAACCATAGAGCTGTCCCTCCCTCGCTCTGCTTTGGCTCACCAGTGAAATATCGCCGCGTAATGAATGGTTGGGAGTTTCAGCTCATTCATAAATTGTCTCTCTTTGTGCTCGTAAACCGACGCTGCGAACCATTTATCATAGTTAAACATTGCTGACATCAGAGATTCTGATTGTTTTATAATGACAGACAGTCAACAGCTTTGTGATACGAACCACGAGCTACCAGCGCCTGGCAAAAACCTAACATCATTATCTGATTATAATCCAGATCCTTTGTGGGTTACTGATTACTTATCACTTACTGACTGCTGATAAATTGAAGATTAGTGCACTACTCAAAGATTAACCCTCAATATAAAGTGCATAGTACAAACTCAAGGCCTGCAGAGGGAACGTTTCAGACTACTGAACCAGAATAATAAAACAGTAAAGTGCTTCGGCATGTCTTTAGAGGACATCAGCAGCATTTGAAGGACTTTCATTTATGCATAGAAGTCTTTTGAGGAATTTCCTATTGAATAAATACTCACCATGTCCTGCATGTTGTGCTTATTTTGCACGTCTCCGTGAGCAGACCTGCATATTTAGACCTGCTGTGTGAATGACTTCACACAGCTTTAAAGGTCAACCTACAAGTTCACTCACTTGAAAGTCGTGTCTGTAATAGCAGAAGCATAAATCACTTTCATTTTTGGTGCTTTTTGGTTAAAATTGTAATTCTCACTCCTCACATGAGAACACAAACATATTCAGCTCATTTACAGGTTCATCATTTACATTTTTCAGTCTACATGAAGAGGTGCTTTATGTGCAAAAATCTCTTTTTTTCAGTGGTGCTGCTGCAGTTGCATGCTGAAAAAGCTGTGAAAGACCCCTTAAGTGTTTTATTTTCAGATTACAAAGGTAGACATTACAAAACCTGCAAATATATTAGCAACTGTTTTCACCTGAATCACAAACCATCAACAGCTCAACCATCATCCTGAATTAGACCTACATGGTTGATCTAGATCGCTGTTTTTTGTTCTACTTGCGTTATTGATCTGTTTTACGCAAAGTGCAATACGGTGCTTTTATAAGTGCAATACGTGCATATGTTTTCATGTATATATGGATGTATATGTATGTTTTAGATAGGAATGTTTTCATGGTTTTACATATACATGGTTTACTCTGTGTCTAGTTGAGCACTTTTGTTTCATATCATGTTAGTTGCACAGAGCTGTAAATTTTGCAGTACTGCCCAAGTTGGGCAGCTGTGGCTCAGGTGGTAGAATGGGTTGTCCTGTAATCGAAAGGTTGGCGGTTCCATCCCCCACCCCTCTACAGTCGAAGTGTCCTTGGGCAAGACACTGAACCTGAAGTTCCTCCCATTGGTAGGCAGGCACCTTGCATGGCAGCTTTGTCGCCGCTGGTGAATGAATGTGTATCTCGGATGTACATTGGTTTGGATAAAAGCTTCTGCTAAATGAAATGAAATTGTAAGTTTCTGAACAATCTTCCTTCCATGAGATATCTGATCTTATCTCATCCTTGCTGCAGCTGCTCTTCTCAACCTTCTGTCTGAATCACTCCATTCTCGCTGTTGTCTCATTAAAACCAGCTTCCTAAAAACGCTCTGTTTGCTCTGATTGGTCAGCTGGTCTGACAAAAGCGAGGTAACGGTGGTTATGTGCTGAAATCCCAAATCTATGAGCACAGAGACGCAGAGAGGCAGTTGCTCATCCTTTGTTTGAGGCCAAACTAGCTGCTCGTCAGGCGTCATGCAGATGTGTTACGCTGTGATGTAGATGAGTGAAGGTTTTATACAGGTACAGAGGTTCAGGAGAGGATGACTCTGTTTGCTGTAGACTTTGTAAGTTATTATGGGCATGTTAATTATGTATATTAACTATCTACATGTGAATTGACAAGATATAAAGAAACCCCACAAACAATTTGTCACCGCCGCTGCTGTGTTGTTTACATGAACACCATAGTAACCAGCACAGCTAACACCAAGATGAGTGATGCTCAGATTGTGCAAAATAAGTTCTCAAGGAAGATATACTGACTGTCAAACCACATAGACTTTAATCCTCCAGGTTTACTTCAGACCTGGCGCCTGCCTAGCAGCTAGTATGGCACGCCCTCACACAAAGAATAGAAGCACTTCTGCTACGACTACACCCATATACACCCATATCTGGGGTAAGGGTACGAAGCAGCGTTGCCTCACTTTCATCGGGCCAAGCGACTAATCGGAACGCTTTTCAGGAGGCATTTCTTAAAGAGACAGGAGCTAAAATGGAGCGTTTCAGACAGAAGAGGTGCTTCTGCAATTTATACTCAGAGAATAATAATAAGTGTTTTCAACATAACAAGCACGTAAACATGTTCTGGCAGACCCTAAAAATAAAGTTTTAAACTTGTTGGTGCGTTTAATATGGGCTCTTTAAGTGTTCACATTCTGTAGTTATATGCAAACCATATGAATATGCAGCATTTGCAACCTTGCTGTTATTTTGGTAGTTTTAACTCAACAATTCTACAAATCTACAGTTTCATTTAGCAGATGCTTTTATCCAAAGCGACCTACATCTGAGAGTGGATACAGCACATGCAAGGATCTAGTCAGGAGAGAACAACCTGGATACGGGTCATACTTCTACTCATTTAAATACTCACAAGTGAGCATGACACTGGAGTCCTGATGTAACAAACACTTGAGTAAATTAAATATTTATTTTTGAAACTAACTTACAATGATTAGAACATATCTCTACTACCAGCCTTTTGTATGTGAAAACATAACTTTTAAAGGCTTATATACAAAATCTGCGACTATTATTGTATCAAATATCTGAACAGCTGAGACTAATCTGACAACAACAAGCTACAGCCTGAATGGAAGGGCCTAATAATGGCAGAGATAAAAGCTTAAAACCAAAGGTGGTGAAGTCATCCTGACAAAGGCCTCGGGCTCATAAGGTTACGAAAACAACTCAAACAGCTAATTGACTGATCAGCTGATAATTGGAGGTTCTCTGGGTGCGCGCACGTTTGGGGTCAGCGGCGGCCAAGCTGTAAATTTTTGCCGAAGGGTCTCTCAGGAGGTGAGTGTGGTGATGCAAACAGTCCCTGAGAGTAGTTAGCCGACTGTGACGTGTCAATTCCTCTTAAACAGCATTCCTCTTTATCAAACAATAAATCAATCAGTTAGGATTTTTTCTTTTTTTTTCTAACAGAGAATACAGATGAAAGGAGTAAAAATGCAATAAAAAAGTACAAAGGGATGAAGGAATTGAGGAAATGCCATCCTAAATAACACACACATACAATGAGGAAACAGGATGAGATCAAATAAAATCAGTTTAAAATAAAATAAAATATCCATTATTAAAAAAACAAAGCGATAGGTAGGTGAAGGAAGTCAAATAGAAGTCAAAATTCATTCAATAAAATAAGAAAATAATGAAAAAAAGAAGCAATAACAAGACTAAAATATGTAAATAAGTGAATAAATACACAAATCAATGAATAAATAATTGAATAAATAATTAAAATAATCAATGATTAAGATAAATAAAAAACAAATAAGAAAAAATAAATAATTGAATTCCCATTCTGTGATAAATAAAGTATTTTTCATTTCATAAAGTTAGTTCTAAGTAGAGTAATTTAAAAAAACAGGTCTTGAGTTTACCTTTAAAAACATCAACTGTTGCCTTCAGGTGTTCTTCTGTTCCATAGATGTGGACCATAATGACAAAATGCTGCCTCACTGTAGGTTTTTGTTCTGATTTTAGGTTTCATTAAAAAGCCACTACCACAAGGCACGAGGCTTCATGAGATAAAAGTAAATCTAATCTTTATTTTGGACCATATCTGTTTCTTCTCTGTTGCTTCACTGTAAAGTAAACGCCGACTCGCAGCTCGTCTGCCTGCAGGTCGAACCGAAAATCCGACTATTTTAATGTTCTGCTACGTTTAGATTGAAAATAACTCAAGAGCCATCTGTCCCTCCTGCTTGTAAAAATCTGACTTTTCCTTTAATCATGTGAAGCAGTTAAATTTTTGGGAGGGTAAACTAACATTAAAGCTTCTAACCGTCTGACTCTGTTTGCCAGGAGGGCCGTTCGGATACAACGAAGTGGCCATGATACCAGCTGGAGCCACTCACATCCGAGTCACCGACAACAGCAGGAACTATCTCGGTAAGGTTCGTCCCGTCACATGCACGTATATCAGGCTGAGCTTCACACAGACGACGTCGCTCCGCATTGCCGGCTCCGTCGCTGTAAAATGAATTCCTGCACTCGGTACGACTTCCTCTCCCCGGAGACAGGAGGGGCTCAGCGGTCCCATCTGGTTTCTCCCAGGCAGGACCAAGGGCATCTATTCTCATCCTTGTTTATGAGACCAAAATAAAGCAGGCACCGAAATGGCTCACGGCGTGGTCTTGAAAGGGCCGCTCGTAAAGGCTTTATCTGACCGCTGGGGTGAGGCAGGTGAAGGCGCCTGTTTCCATCTCATGTCATGGAAAATCCCTGCGCCTGCACCGAGGAGAGGCAGCTGCCTTATATAGCAAAGCTGGCACATTTCCTCAACCCCAGCTTGACCCGCTGATATGCAAAGGTAATTGTTCCCGCCATTTTTGAGAATATTCAACAATTCCACGTTTCCTTCCTCCCGCAGCCCTGCAGAACGGCAGATCCCAGTTTGTCATCAATGGCAACTGGAAGATCAGCGTCCCTGGAGAGTATAACGTCGCCGGGACCAAGCTGCTGTACCGGCGCTCAGCAGACACCTGGGAGAGTTTCGAGGTGCCGGGACCCACCAAGGAAGACCTTCACCTGATGGTAGGAATCCTTAAAGAGGCTGGAATGGGACAGTTTGGTCACCAGGGGCCTGCTTCTGCAACTTGACAGATGTTTGTAGTCGACTCGTAGGTGTGAATTCAAGCCATCAGTCGGCGAGTTTTGATATTAATTCAATGATCTAAATATAGACTCTGGGAGCATTAGAACATGTTTTTAAGTTTCAGGACTGCAGGAAGTTGCTGCAGGCAGAAAGAAACCGTCCCTAATTGGCCCTTTCAGCCTCTCTGTTTCCATTGTAGCGTAGCATCTATCATCGGCCTTTATTTCATCGACCTCTGTTTAAACTCAGAGCACATTAAGCCAAGAAATCCTCATTTACAATGGAGCCGAGTAAAACAAGATAACAGATGTCGGCACACAAATAAACTCTGATAACAGTAAGATATTAAAAGGGGCCAAGATTCTGCTAACAACTAACAGCTTTTGTTGATTTTGACCCTATTGTAAAGTACTATAATATATTAAAAACCAGAGCCATGTAATCAGGATTACATTCTGTCTCCCTGCGTTGCGCAACACTGTGTAAAACTGAAGATATTCTGCTTATCAGAAGAAAAACACCAGCTTTGGATGAACGCTTGATTGTTTTCAGGTATTTCTGACCTGGCTCAGCTACCAACCAGCTGATAACCATTGAGGTTTCTGTTGTTGCAGTGTTTTAACTGTGAACACAGCGTGCTGTTTGTTTTACCTGGAGACTCCGACATAGCGAGCTTGAATCCAGCAGCAGTTATTAAGTCTTACCGGGGGACTGGCACTTGGATTTATTGCTTCTGCTTTAACCACAACCATAACCCTAATGCCTGGGGTTAGCTCTAATATTGGGACAACAAACCTTTGCAAAAATACAGGAAAAGCAGCTGCGGTGAATTTATGTGCCTTCCTTGTTGTTATTCCCCTCATTTAGTTTAGTTACCCTTGTAATTCTCAACCTAAGCCTTTGGATTACGTGGCTGCTAGAGCAAATTATAGGTGATGGACACCAGGACCAGGAAAACGCAACAACTCCAACAGAGTGATGCGTCTTTTTTCTGAAGTAGCTATCAAGAAGTCTGCACCTATAAAAAGCAGAGCTGTACTTGATTTAAATCTGACCACTATCATCTTCAAAGTGCTTTCCTTTGGCAGCGTTGCAACAACTCCCAGCATTCCTGTTTGTAACTTTCCCTGACAGTCCTGTTTTCTAAGTGCGTCAAGCACCTTTGTGATGCATCCTAGATCTCCACTAAGTCAAAATGGCAACACTTCAACTACAGTTTCTATCTGAGGAAAAGGAAAATGTTGCAGGGACCCAAATCTGGAGTAGAGTGGGTGGAGAGCAATGATTGTGTTGTTGTGGTCACGAGACCCGTGCAGAACCACCATGCTGTGACCAAGTACACTGTGCATTAGAGCAACAACATGCCATCGCACCACAGTTCAGGTCATTTGCACCAAATGTTCTTCCTCAGACACCTCAGAACGTTACAGTAGAACTCTGCTTTGATCGTCTAGTTCTAGTTAATGAATTCACGGTGCACGAGCACATTAATGTTGAAGAAAACAACAAGCATTCTCCTGGTTGTGCTTCTGACCTGCTGCACCATCTCAGATCTTGGAAACTGCAGCTCTTCCACTGTGAAAACTGTTGTTTCTTCTGATGGTGGTAGCCGCAGATCTACCTCTTATCAACACTGATGCAGCTCCACATGAATGTTGCATCATCCCAACGCAGAATGTGATGTTTTCTTCTTAACTCCAGTTTGCAGTCTGTAAGGAATTTGCAAATGTGCATGACAACGTATGCAACACATTGATAGCGCTGTGTCCAAGGTCTTCTAACTCAGTTATTGCTGCACATGTTGTATGTGTTGACACTTTGATTTAAATGAAATCAAATATCCAGTCAGACTTAGTATTAGTAGATCCACAATATTAGCGATCTGGAACTGGAGTCATGGGTAACAAACAGCACTCTAGGTCACACTATTAGGTACAGTAGAACCAATGTTATATAAATGTTGGTGCATGCATTTCCAAAGCTTTCACTGTGTGCAGCACTCAGCAGATAGATACAGAAAAAAGACATGATCCGTATTCCCGTGCCGTCCTTGTCTGCAGGTTCTATCGACAGACAGGAACCCGGGGATCGAGTACGAGTACTGGCTGCCTCCGGACCAGTATGCCCTCTACCACGGGAGGAGGAGTCCGCTGCGTCAGGCTCACCACACAGCCAGCTACCTCCCCTGGGACCAGCCCACCACCACAACCAGCACCACCACCACCACCACCCGGCCTCCTCCAAGCACCACCCGACCCTACTGGTGTAAGACCTGCCTTCAGCTTCACTCAGTCACCCTTCAGCAGATCCATAGATGAAAGCGTGAGCTTAAAGGGGAGAGAAAGTCTCCCCAGAATCTAAGTTAATCAATTATCTACTCATAAGCGTGTCAGTCAGAGCTGCATTGAAGTTGAGAAGAAGCCTCAGGCTGCGTTAAAATAGACGTGAGTGCAGGATTAAAAACAGAGTCTCCTTCATTTCAGTGAGGCGCCTGCAGGCTTCTGTAACCAACATGCAGTTTTCCGGAAGAAAAGTTGAACTTGACTCAACTTTTGCCGCAGTGCCGTGTTGTCTGACAACACATGCACAGATTACTGTGTGACATGAACACCGTATTTGCACTGTTGACTCAGCTTTGATGTTTAAAGGTAAAATAGTTGTTGTGGTAACTTCTAGAGCTGTAAAATCCTGTTTCATATTATTATAAACAACTGCAGTATGTTTTGGTGTCTTAAAGGCCTTCAGCTTGGATCTGGATTTGGATCTGTTGCTTAAACCAGCTTTCTTAGCTTGTTTTTTTATCAGTACCTGAAGCAGAACACTCCCACCAAAGCCTCTTGTGTTTCTTTACACAGTCTGAATGCCTGTTAGATGCACAGCTAGTCCCAGCTGTTTCACCTCATTCCCTGAAACCACTGAAACTAAAACAAAAAAAACAAACCAAAAATATGTCCGTTTTGTAAAGTTGCAGTTTCATAAAACCTAGATGTTAATTTCAAACTTTGATAGAGTAAGAAATCCGAGACAGCCATGTTGACTGATTGTGTGCAGCGTTATATCTATCATATGTGGCCACCAGGAAAAAGCAGCTTTCCTCAAAGCTCTCAGACTTTGCTGTTCCTCTTTTAACACCTCTGGTTGAACATCTCTGGAATATTCAGAGAGATGCTGCTGTTGTCAAACAGAAACTTCTGCAGCTAAGTGCCCTAAACTGCAGTTCTTCAAACGACCACTTGAGGCTGACTAGAAAAGTGAGTCAGTCCTCATAGAACTCCATGTTAAAATGTTAAACTTTACAGCAGAAATAAATCTGCTTACAACCTGGTATGAAAACACATTTCCTCTCTATAGCTAGTTTCCTCATTCAGAACAACTGCACAGGGGGAGAACTGTTCTATAACTCAGCCATTTAAATTGTATTAAGGCCTAAAGACATTTGCATGGCCCATCTCATCTCCACTCATACTCCACCTGTTCACTAACTTTGATTAAACTGTGAGTTACAAGGAGTCCACTTAGCCATCCCAGTACTACACAACAGTACAGCTGTAGTACAGACCGACATTATCCGCCGCTGTACTACAGTACATCTGTAGTCCATCAGGGTCTGGCTGCAGTAGAAAAAACACACTCTGGTTTGATTGTGTTTCTTTAAATCAATCACAATTGTCTTTAGTGGAGCTAAAGAAAGGATGCAGCTTTTGTGTTCCCTCAAAATAATGTCAGGAGTGTTTTGGTGGAAGATTTGCACACAGGGAAATAAACACGGCTATTAAAATAATAATTTGCACTGGCTTGTGTCACTGCGTGATCCAAATCCTCTGCAAAACTTTAAATATTCAGTGTTTAAGGTTGCTGTTTGGAGGTTGTTGTATATCATATCTATCATACAATGGCAGTTGGAAAGGCAACATGGTGTTAACATGTTGTTTTCATAGAAACAAAGTCCCAAAAAACTGGGACGCTAACACTTTACTGCCAAACAGAAACCCTACATGGACACTCGCCTTAAGATCCAACAGGGTTAAAAGCTGAGATCTGAGAATCTGGACAAGAAACAGGAGCAGATGCAGTCGTCTAGTAATGAGGGAAACAGAATAAGATCTCTTTATGGTCCAGCCTATTTCTCTCCTATACGTCAACTTAAATTTACATCAACAGAAGATTTTGACCATTTTACTGTACTTCTTAAGGTCTGCACCTGAGAAATAACTTCCTCTGTCTTGTCTCAGCCAGATTTAAGATCTTAAAATGCTCTTTTAATTCCTCTTCTTGCACTAGTCTTTATTTGTCTGAAATAACCAGCCTTTGAGACCGCAGTAGGAAGCCTGACCGACTTATAAATGATCCTGCACAGCTTCAGAAATCAGTAATCCAATTGAAGCTCTGAGACTTTTCTTACTGCTAAGATCTGTGTATGAGCTGAAGTTTCCGTCTGTCCAGCACATGCTTTTCATTTTCCTTTTCATTGCACATCTGTTTGGATGGTAGTTTTTTATCATATTGTATTTTATTTTATATATATAATAAATATTAGTACAATAGCTCAACGAGGCGACAGGGTGGAACAGTGGTTTGCAATGTCGCCAAATCACAAGAAGGTTTTGTTTGAACCTGCTGGTTGACTCTGGGTTGTTCCATGTGCTGTTTGCATGTTCCTCCTACATGAGTATCCAGTGTTCTCTGCCGTCTCTGTTCGCAGTATTACGGTGAAATTTTACTCTTATTTGTCCAGAAAAGACTATTGTAAACAGCACTTCTCCTCTCAGACCTTGATTGCCGTGCAGAGCTCTTGGACGAGGCTGCATAAGCTTTAAAAACAAACTGCACATTTGCAGCAACCTAATGAATATTTTATGACTTTGGAGAAACATGACTACATCTAATATCAGCATGTCTGACTTAGATTTGACTTGTAATGTGTCCTTTGGCTTCCTAACAGCCTTGAACACAGTTCCAGCTGACATGTGTCCGACTCCTTTAAGAGACAAATATCAGCTTGGAGTGCGTTTTATTGACTGCACATGAGCAGCCTTTGATCACAGGGTCTGCAGCAGCTCTGCAGATATATTTGTTTTTAAAGCTGATCACAGGAAGAATTGGAATTCTGTTTTTTTCCATCAGCATTGTTTGATCGTTTTGAAATCCTTTTGCCACCTTCACAGCTGTTCTCGGTCACGCAGCGATAACAGTGACAGATGAAGTCGTCCAAAGCGAAAAGGTACAAAACGCTAAAAGGACAATGAGGGGAATCGATCACAGACCTGAGGACGGAGGAGCTTTAATCAGGCTCAGTGAGTGGAAACACCTGCAGCTCGTGGTGGGCGACGGGTTAAAAACTCTCCAACTTCAGGTCTCATTCGATTTAGAATAGTTTGTCTGTAGGCTGAGCTGGTTGCTGCTGCTGCTGCTGCTGAGGAATGCAGCTGGTTTATCTCTCATGATAAGGCTGCAGTACACATGTGCTGAATCTACACTTACCTCCCCAAACACTCACATTCACGTGGAAATCTGTGCACAGCCTGCGGACTTGCGCTTTCTGTCCAACTGCATCCAGTCCGTAATAAATCTCAGCAGCCTCTCTGGAAACATTTTGCAGCTGCTGGATTTGTGCCAAACTGAACTGTTTGCAGGAGCAGCATGTTGATTATTTGTTAGATAACAAGGTGAACTCCCAGGTCTGGATTCCTCATCCTGGAGCAGCACATAATGCGATCAGGATGACGGGAACTGTATGATGATCCTTGGGGAGGGGCTGTGTCTTTTTATAGCACAGTTCAGTTCTGTGAAGTTTTGCTGTTTCAGATCCAAACAGAATGTCCTGTTTTCTCTGATCTATTGTTTCCTTCTTGCAGTTTCCTTAGCGTTTTGTCAATGTGTGACTATTAAATGAATCCAGGGACAGTCCCGATCTCCATGCCTGAAACCTACTCACAAAGATCTAACTGATGTCACCTGAAACAGGACAGTCCTTCGTGAAATAGCCAACATAGTGCCGTAATGACACCAAAACATCTTTCATGCTGTTGTGTATTTGTTTCTTTTATGTTTATTTGTGGACATTTAAATGAAATATCTGTAATTTATCATCCTACCACTATAGGACAAGGAGCTACACACAGGTCTGGCTGTGAAGCTGCAGTGAGCTTTAGGTTTATTCATGTAAACTTTTTTTTTCATTGTAATGCGAGGGTCGGTTGCTCCTTTTTTTCCTTGTTTGTTTGCTTGTTTAGGAGGTTTTCTTTGGGTTAGCTGACTCATGAAACCCTAAAACCCCAGTCAGAAATAACAGGCATGAAGATAGAGGTTATCAACGTTATCACATAAAAGTTTAACTCCTCATGTGACTCGTCTTCCACACAGAATGAACCAATCATGTGCCGCCAACTTCAGTCAGGAGGGACAGGTTGTTATAATGGAGAGCTATGAAGAATATAAACCCAATTACCTTGGTTTGTAGTACAGCCCTTTGGCTATCCTCTGGGTTTTATGCCACAGGGCGATGCATTCTGGGTAATAAAGTCTGCACATTTGTATAAAGTGTACATAAGGAGAGTAACCTTTTGTACTGAATGATTTGATAGTTAGACAATCCTAAACTTGCACTCAATTAGCGGAAACGCCTCAAAGTCTGGGAATGTAGACGTTGGGATTTGTGAAAGTAACAAAATAAATGTCAGCTAACATGTCCAAACTCATTTCAGGTCAGAACATAAATATGTTTGAAATATGAGTTGAAATAAGGATCCTTCACACTGATTATTGTCCTACAATGGAAAAGGAGCAGCTGGATCCCACTTGAAACAAACGGTGGACGGTGGTTAAACAGCTCCACAAACATATCTGCCAACAGCATGGATACGTTTTAGGAACTGGATCCGACTCAAAGACGGTGCCTACTCATGTGAATGAGAATCGCTCTCTTGGCAAAAATAAGTCGAGCTTCCAGGTCTGTTTCCACTGAACGTGTGCTTCAGGCTTCGTCCCGTATGGAGGAATTTCTGGCATCACTCACAGAGGTTTAGGTTTGTTTTTCTGTCTGCCCAGCACCGACATGATAAGAATTAAGAGTAGACAAAAAATAGAAATGTGACCTGTTCATTGTGCTTTAATGTCCTCAGGCGTACGGATACCTTTTCTTTATCAAATGACCAGAAATAATGTGAAAATCAGAGATCTTCTCTAATTTTTAATGCTGGGGAGAATTTACAAACATAAAACCTCCAGAGACTGATAATAATGATAATACAAAGTGAAAAGTAGCACTGATGGCAGCTCGACAGGCCTTTCTTTTATAATGCTGATTGTAATATTGCAGTACTAGAAGTATATATTATTATTAATATGGAACAAAACAGCAACTGATAGCCACCATGTCTTTTTTTGATATTATCTATGTGTCAGAAGAAGGATTTATCTGAACATATGTGGAGATGCAATAAACAGGAGGTATGGAGGTTCCTCCCCTAAGAAATATTAAACATCAGACAATTTATTTCTTGCATTCTGGTGATTTTTTTATGCACCAATTTATGGCGCAACTGTCTTTATTTCTGTATCTAGTATCAGACCTCCCCCTCCTCCTCCTTTATGGTTGTTGGTCTGTCTGTGTGTGGTGGGATGATTCAGTGTGTGTGGGCTCGTAATTCATGTTCATATTTAAATAAATAATTCGGTACTGAAGAAATAAGACCCTCCCCTGTCAGAGGCATTCTTGCGTCTATAAGTAACGTTACAGTAGTTTTTCATGTCGTGTTTTAACTGAGGAGGGTTTATTTTTACTGCATTCCCGCTGAGATTTACATCTATGTCAATGGCTGAAGTCAAAATCCAAATTGTTTCATAAAAAGCATCTGACTAGAAGAATCATCTAAAATGTGCTTTTGTATCTTGTAGTTTTAAGACCTGCGAAGCCGCCGCGACAAACTCCTCACGACAACCACCACCAGCGTCCTCAGCAGCCCATCCTGCCTCGTCTGGAGCGAGAGGAGAACCACAGGAACCTCCTGCCTCAGCCCTCACCTGGAAGTACGTCCACCACCTCCTCCGAACGCCGTCCCGCAACAAGCTGAGCGCTGCTAAACGAATTTGATCTCGTTCTGGGTGTTAAATGAGAAGATCAACGTGGATCTCTTTAGTTAAACCAGATAGAAAAACTTCTTGAACTTGATCTTCTGCTTCTAATCGATTTGAAATTATCTAAATTATTTTTCGAATGTCCTAATTATTATCTAGCCGTGGCTCAGGTTTCATTTCAGTTCTGGGAGTCTGTTTCCGCTTCGTTTCCTGCCATCGGCTACATTTTTATGCACCAATTTGTGCTTTTTCTGCATTAATTTACGCTGAAAATATCTCTATTTATGTGAAGGAAAACACTAACTTCAGATACCAGGTGACCCTATCCCCCAAAATAGTGACATATATATGAGTCTAATTCCACTCTTCACAGTGGATTTACTGGTTGTATGAGCTCGTGTTTCATATTTTGAATTATGAGGACAAAGAAAAAGATCGGTTGCATCTTTTAGTGCGTTTTTAATGGCTTTTCACTGAGGTTTTCTTCTTCTTTCCTGTTTTTATTGAGGATTCGGACAAATATAACTTTTATTTATATAGCAGGTTCTAAAAAACTGATTTTTATAGGGTGCTTTGAAATTTTAGCCAAAAAAAGAGGACACTCAGGAAGACAGCATTAAATAGAAAATAGTCAGATCACACAAGAAGAAACAAAACTAAAGAAGCAAAACATGAAGAAATAGTTAAACATGGCAACAGGTTCAAAATGCAAAACACAGACAGAAGAAAAACCAACTGATACAAATAAAATGATAAAAGCACCAAAAATACCAAAGCACAGAGTAAAGAGACGACTTCACATGAAAGAAAGTCTATAAAAATGGGTTTTAAGAAGTGATTCAAAAGAAGACGCTGTTCTGAATGTTTAGGAAGACGAATCCTTTCTTCTCCTGAAATCTACACTTTTGAATAATACTTTAATTTATTACTACTTTAGGTTCAGACTCAGCTGTTGATGTTCAGTTGTTCCAGCTTATTAGAGAGCTGATAATTAAGACAAACGTCCTGTTTCTTGTTTCTAAAGGTGGACACAGTAGATTTCCATTTTGGCTGTTTCTCTTTGGGAAGTCTTGTATATTTTAAATTAGTACTGACTGATGTATCCGTCCTCTACATATGTTTTCAGTGCATGCAGCTAGAAGGTAACAGTTGGTACCTTTGGAACAAACACTGTGTTAAGTTTCATGCGCTTTAGACTCGTATCCATCATTTGGTACCATCGGGGAGGCGTCTGATTGGTCCCAAATTCATTCTGCAGTTTGATATGTAGCCAAAAGGTGCAAAAATAAATATGTGCAGCCACATGAGGAACGAGGAGTCCTGCAACAGATGGTCTGAACCCACAGAGAGCTGAATTCAACATCATGGAATGAATTACATGAAGCAGCAGCCTATCTGTCAAATACTTGAAGCACCAAGTCTTTACTTTTCTGTATGACGTTAACTGAAGAATAAAAACTCTAAATTTATCACTTCAACTGCATGAAACCTTTGCAGATAACTGGTTGTTTCAGAGTAATAGTATCCTGTATTGTTGTCTGGATCCTATATAAGTTTGTTTTCTTGCCACAGAAGCAAAACATCTCCATTTTCTATCTTTTAACACCGAAATAGTTTGAATCTGTGATGAAAGCAGTGGTTCACAGGCCAAACTTCTCATCTAACTCCCTGTAAGAGAGCCAGCCAGCAGAGCTTCGGCTATCTTCCTGTGTTCTCATACGGTGTATTTACAGTAAATGTCATGTCTGTACATGTGCCTTACTTCTGCTCTGCTCATCCTCCAGGGCATTGTGGGAAATGCCATCGAGCTAAAGGTCGAAGGGAGCGCCAGAGACAGTATTGTCAGAAGGACTTTGGTAAGTCGGAGCTTTGTGCCGATATTCAGTAGCTTGTGACAGAACACACACGCTTATTGAAACATTTCGTCGTCAGTTTTCCGAGCCAGAGTCCTGGGGAAGCTGTACCGAGGCGAGGAGACCCGCTACGACGTCCAGATCATCCACACCTACCGGAACCGCTTCCGCCTGGAGCACCGGGAGTTCCTGTGGGTCCCCAACACGTGCGACTGCCCTCAGCTGGTGGTGGGGAGGCAGTACATCCTGATGGTGCGTCGCCACATTAACTACGAGCGCACGCTGAACCGCATCCTGCTGGAGGAGGACAGCTACGTGGTGCCGTACCGACCCAGAGAGGACGAGCAGGTGCGGCCGCTCGAAAGGCTCTGCAGCAACACGGGACCCAAGCAGCCGGCCGAGCTCAGAGGATGAGGCGGGACAATGTGGAGGACGAAGCTCAAACTGAAGCTTTACTCACGTTTAATCTTCCATTTCTGGATCTTCAAAGGTTCACCAGACTGCTTGTTGTCGGTGCGATGATGAGAGATGAAGCTGGAAAACCAAACAAGACTGGACGTTTATTTAAAAGCCTTACTGTACCATGTAGAGCACTTTAGGTGGACGCTTGTGCCCACCTTTAAACACAAACCAAAGAGAAGAACATTGACTGAAATGGCCTTTTTGCTAACGCTGTTTTTCCACAGCTACCATTTATTTTTTTTATATTGCATTTGTGTGTGCGTTTGTGTGTGTTTGTAAACGTAAAGGAAAAATTCCACTCGACAGAATTATTTCAGATTGAACGAATGTTGCACCTCATCCAGATATTTCCAACAACTCAGTAGAGTTTGTGCAGCAGAAAATGTTTGTGATCTAAAACAGTGACAATTTTATTTTTTTCATAAATTGATGCCTCTAAACATAATCCAGCCAGCGAGCATGTTGCCACAACAACGTTTAGTTTTTACTTTCTAGGAAACGACACTTAATGCCAGCTACTTAACAATATGAAGGTTACGGCTCTGGTCATGGACATGTGTCTGGGCTTTCTTCTGGTATCTGGTACTGGGACGATGCCAGCTGATTCTTCTCTGTGGATCAGACTTGTTGTGATGCATCCTTTGCAGCTAGATCAACGCCTTCTGCTCTTGGTCGTGTTCCTCGAGCTCTTACTGAGCAGCTTTTGCCTTGTGCTTGGTCTCCAACAATGTTCAGGCAAGTGGCAGGTCTGCTCGATATATCGTTTCAGTATCGACATCTCAACTTGTGCGACACTGCAGGAAGTGAGATGTGTTTGAGGCAAATTACCTCAAACACATCATGCAAAAAAA